CTTATGACCTTTTTTACGAAAGTAGTTTTTGTGCTTTTAACAAAGTTTAGTATATAAAAAATCATTGGTACATTGTGTAAAATCGTAATCTCAGTACAGATAAATAGTTATAACGTCTTAATAGGGAGTCCAAAATGGAATCTTGTTGCAGAGTTTCAATAAAAATTCATTCCTTTGGTAAATCAATAATTTGGGATTCCTTTGGATTATTTGAATTTTGACAATTTACAAGAATATTCGAATTTTTACCTTTAATTTTTACAAAAGGAAAATAGTTATACCTTGGAGAAATTGCTACTCAAAACTGATATTTTTTGCAACAAAAGTTAAATTTGCTACTCTCTCACTGAAGGTTTGGTTACATTTAACACTAACAGCAAAACTTGATACAACTTTTCAGTTGAGTGTCTTCGTGTAAAAGCCATTGAAAAAAATATACTGCAATGGAGAATCAGAAAAAGGGCGCGGGGCTGTTTTTCAAGGGGTCATCCGTGTCTGTATACATTCAGTGGCTGCACCAGATGGGGGGGGGGGGGGGGGAGGCAATGCAAGGGGGCAAGTGGGGGGGGGAAGAAATATTTTGGGGGGCAGTTAAAATAATATTTGATTTCCAGAAGCTAAGGCGCAACTAATGCATTTTCAGGTGTAAATAAAACAACCACTATCATGACACAATGACCTATGGTGTGTTATAATATTATGTGTGCACGGAACCAAAAATTTACTCTCTACTTTCAACTATACATGTTGTTCTGATTCTGAACAGTAAAGGAAATAAAGAGAGTTATTTAATCTTCAAGTAGACAAAGTGTGGGGGCAAGAGAAAAACTTGGGTGTGTGTGGGGGGGGGGGAATCCCCCTTGATTCCAGCCCTCCCTCCCCCCCCCCCCCCCCCCCCCCCATGATACATGGCATGAGGGCACACAGCTGCAGGTGTAGATGTCCTAAGTCTGGGGTCTTGCATATTTTTCCCTAGATGTGTCACCTGTTTAAAATAGGTTTTCTAGTTTTGAGATTAGGGTGTTGTTTGGCATGAAATAATAATTGCATGTTATTAACCTATATAAGGAAAGAGCTTTTGAATCATATACGTACAAGTTGTACATTATACAATAAAAGGTGGAATCAACTTTCTTTGAGATAAAGAAGGAAAACACTTGGAATCATTGAAATTTCATACATGTATGGTCCTCGGAGAAGTATGTACATGTACGACGACATGTCTGTGAGTTGAATAGTTTTGACTGCCTATGAAAACCCACTCATTTCACCCCTGGGGTTGTTTCGGTTGTGTCCATACTAGGGGAATGACCTAAGCCCCACCAATAACATCCCATGTGGAAAAGTTCAACCACATCAGGTAATAGCGAAGAATTGAGGGAAAGTGATACAATGTAATCTATCGGAACAGATGTTGAAGATGTCTGTTTAGACCCAGATTCTGGTAATCTGGAAAGGTCAGGTGCGCGTTATTAAATTTGGGCGTTGCCAGTAGCGCTGGTCTGATATGAATATTGACTCCCTGCAGGGGAAGACTGGTATTCCCTTTGCCATGTAGGTCAACAAAGGTCAAATATAGTTTAATATCTACAATACAATCTACATGTAGATATTTTGTGGTTCTGTCCACAGGGCATTATCTATGTATGCGGATGGACAGGAATACATATTAAAAATGTACAACATTCTGCAGATATCCATGCTTTTGGAATATTCACATACATTGTACTTGCTTTGACATTCCTATCTAGTCTTTTTGTTATTACCGGTATTTGTTGCTATGAATATGCATTCGTATTTTCATATTCACCATTTTTAATATCATTTTTGACTTTAGACTGAAAAGGGGTTATAGTTTTAAGCTATCGCACCTGGAAAAATGTGGGACCATGTTGAGGACACGTACATGTACCAGAACATGTAGGCTTACACATACCGGTATGCTGATTGGGGGGGGGGTCTTTTTTTTTTTAAATTGAACATTAATGATAATCTTTTCCAGCCACGCTGTAAATGAAAAAGACAAGAAACTCTGGGATTTTATAAAAACATAACAAAACCTGTTATGTTGCGTATATCAAAGAAGATGGAGATTCTGAGATTGCTCTAGGGATAAGGAGGTCTTTGAGCTATTGTCTAATTGGTAACCCTGGGCCAATACCTCTGTCTGCAAATGGTGATTTATATGTTCCTCATATTTTAAAGAAAACTAATCATTGCTACTAATTAACCTTGTATTGTATGTTTGTTTGGAGAGGCCTGTAGTCTCTAGGATGTCTAGTATATTGGTCAGTCATGGGTGCAAGTGCTTCAACTCCTTTCAGTGAATTTAACTTAGTTGTGAAATGTTTTCATGAACACACTTAAGACATTTTCTCAGAACACCTACTTTGAGAGCTAGGCCTATGTATAGAACGGTCATGGCACATGCCAAACAATTCCATCTCACAAACTGCAAAGTAGTTATATGTACTTGTCTTGTAATATCCTGTCTATGTTACATGTGTACATTCAGCTAATATTAAGCCTGTAGCTACAGACACTTCAAAGGTACATTTAATTAGGTCATCTACATTAGTAAAAAAAATGCAGTTTTTTCATCTACAGTTTTCTTTTTGCAGTCCGATCAACTCTACTTTAAAGCCCCAAGAGTATGAGAACAATAGAATTAAAAAGGAATTCCTTAGTGAAGAGTAGTCCATGTATAACACTTATCTCTCAACATAGCACCCTTGAAGTTGTTGGTTTCTTGTTTCGTTTTGCAGCTTCTAGACAGGTAGGCCTACCGGTACGTAACAGCAGTGAATGTGCAACGCCTTTTGTGAAATTCTGCACCCTCTTTGTTTTTAGGCAATTAGTGCATATATTACGTTTAAATCACTTTGCAATACTTGTTTTTGACTCTTGCATTTTGAAAGCAAAATTTGTTCAGTGTTCATGGGGCAAAAAGTCAGTTGGTGAGACTCAAGTTTGTTCCTAGTGTAGACATTGCTACTTTGTTGCATATTTTTAAAATTCTGATGTACATGTATGTCATGGAACATCCTGAATATACCCAAGTAAATGTGACATTTTAATTTTTTAATTTGGCAGCCCGATTTGGGCCATTGTATCCATTATACATGTACTAGGGTACCTACATGTATTAATGAACCAAAAACTTCCATCAGTGTATGGACTAGGGGATGCTTTTTTGACACTCACTAAATCTGTCACTCACTTCATTTGTAACGATGAATTTCATTGAGAGGAAGACGTTTTTCAGACTGAGGACTAGCCTTTAATGTTCAGCATGCTTGCCAAGATGCCAAAGATATTCTGCGATATATTATTGCCAGATGGATTAGTGAAGTGTTTGATCATTACATTTGCTGACCATTCCCAAGTGGTCTGTATTATATGTACATGTTGAAAGATATTAACTTGCAATGCTCACTGTGTGAATTGTGTCCATTTTGCTTATGAACCATAGCCACGTTCTGATGAAACTTCAACTATGCATTCTTTTCTTTTCTTTATCTGTTTTGGATTGGAAATTTGAAGCGTCAATGTCTGTGTCAATTTTTTTATAAACTTTGGGAGAAATGTTTAAAAAAATTGAAATGGTTTGACATTAATATTTGTGTGTGTGTGTGGTATAGAACACAACAGACTGAAACAAATTTGAGGTTCTTGATCTTCCACAGACAGAACCAATTACAGTGTCAGTGGGAAATCAATTTAAGAAACCCCAACCACTATCACACAATTGATCATACAGAAGTCATCCCCTGAAATATATAGATATGGTCGTGTACATACACCAATGCAAACACCGGAAATCAAGTAGGTACAATTTTGAAGTGCAGAGCGATATGAATACTGAACCATCTGGAAGAAATAAAGTTGGCAGCTTCAAAGGAAATTTATTGGTCTTGCTGCATTAAACATTTCAGAAGGAATTGCAATAATGCATGAACCAGACCACCAGGCTCATTATAATGTCCCACAGGTACCAGGATTTTCAGGAACATTTCTTCACAGAGGTCCAACAAATACATTGTACATGTAGAGAAATAGTTCACTTCTAGATTCTCAATGACTCCCAAAAGTAATGAACTGTTTCTGAAACCATGACACTCTCCAGCACTGTTATACTTTACCTTTGTAACACTGTGTTAAAAAAAAAACCGAGAAATAAAAAGGAAGGTTAGAAAATTCATTTCAGAAACAAAATTTGGGGAAATTTTGTTAGAGTGTTGAACAATTTCTGAGTGTTTCTGAGCTAATATTAATGGTGCCAATAATCCGGTCAAAGCTCTGCAAATCATTATTTTTTTTCAGCAGGTTCTACTGAAATAATACAGTCAGTATGCACAATATGTGGAACAACCTACATTTAAAAGAATTGTGTTTCACACAAAAAAGTCAAATGGGTTTCCAGGAAAAAAAAATATGTAGGCCGTGTCCATTCAAGTAACATTTCAACAATTACATGTAGTTTTCAACATTACCGATAAGTTTTATACCTAATAGTGTCTTTCTCAAATGGCTAAATAAAAAAGATGTGAATTATGACTTCTTGGATATCTAGATGTATTGTGATTTGTTTATTTCTTGGGGAAAAAGATGACCAGTTCAGTAACATGGTTTATGGCATTCATGTACTGTATTACACCTGAATCAGACTGGCGTTCTAGAGTGGAAGTTGTGGAACCAAACCAAATCGTATCAGGAGTGATTCAGGTTGACCCAAAAAGTAGGTTTGGGTTTGGGCAAACTTTCTGTGTTCATTTTTTATTGACTAATCTCTGGAGTCATTCGGAATGACCACAACTACAGTCACTCCTAACTGTTTCAAATGTCAAATTTTCATGTATTTATAAGTAAAATCTTCTGAATAAATTGGTTTGGCATGACCTGGAAGGCCTGTCTAAGGTGAATGTAACATGTAATGGTTATTGAATCCTGTGATAAAGCATGAGCCTAATGAAGCCTGTATGTATTGATTCTGGTTACAGGTATGATCTTGGGGGAACAGCTCCAGGGATCATCACCAGCGCTGTGACAGTGTCATTGGGAAAATGGCACACAGTAACAATCAACAGGGACAACTGGGATGGCTGGATACAGGTGGACCAGGAGAAACCTGTCAAGGGAAAATCCAAGGTTTGTTGACCTGCTGAAGGAACAAACTATTGTTTGCATACACCATGTTATACTTCATATGTGCAAACGGTGTGAAGTGCGCGTAACTTTGTCAGAATGTTCTCAGACTCATTGTGTCTGCATTGTGACAATGTTTGCATACTGAGGCCACAGTTTCACTCTCATCTTTAGGTGACATGATCTGATAGTGGCTGTAACTACTGCCACTGATAATGCCCAATGATAAAGATACACAGAACAGCGAGGAAACTAATTCTGTTTTCTTCAAAATTGCTCTTTTATCATGCATTGCTGGATGTCTATAGCACAAGAGAATGAAGGTAAACATTTGTGCTGTGTTCGATGGGTAGAGGTAGAGTACTGTACATGTTCACTTCTTGTTACTTTCCTAGCAGTAAACTAGAACATTTGCCTTGTCAGTATGCCTGATGACAGTATGACTGATGACCACATACCTATGTGATGCAAACTGGGAAAACCCTGAATATGGTGAAAAATGACCGGATCCCACAAGAAGTTTTTGTCATTTTAAAGCCTCCACTGCAGCGTTTCTAGACTTTTTTCCAAATTGCTGAAAAGAACTTGACATCAAAAAAAGCGATGTGGGTTTAAAGTTGAACATACATGTACACAAATTGAAGAAAATCATCAATAACTACATGTACATGTAAGTTGTCTAGAAACATAATTTGTTAAATCAATCAATAAAAAAAATAGAACCGAAATGCTGTTAACACTGAATCACTCAAAAAACAAACCTAAGTGACAAATGGCGAAACAATTTGACAACATATTTTCCATATCATTTATACTTCAGAGCTTTTGACAGGTACCGGTACCAATACTGTTGTTACCGTACATGAACTGGTACGTGTAGACCTATGTCTTTAACACATGTAGCTCTATACTTGTAGCTTAATTGATCATGTATTGTGTCTTGAGTTGCTCATTGTAGCTGTGTTGTGGAAGTGTATGCAGTAGCAAAGATACATGTATACTAATGTATATATCATTCTATGTTAATGTACATGCATGAGCCATATAAACTGTTCATTTGTTCAACCCCACCCTTACAAACGTACCTCTCTACTGTCTTAGTGGATCCCGTCAGACTGTACATGTATGTTCTAAGTACATGTACCTGCCATTAAACATCTACAGGTGACAATTTGTGAAGCGTCCTGGTCATTAAGTCCCTGCAGCAAAACAGCAAAAACAGCTAAGGATATGATGCACAGCTGATATAATGCATTAAGATGAGGAAGGAGTTTCTATCCAACAGCAGTCTATGATCACAACTATGTTAATGAAGTTACGGCTTATAAAGTGATGACATGTTTGTGAAGCCTTGTGATAGGCATTATTTTTAAGTTTTAACAATAAAACATATGTTACATGAAACGTCGTGCAGGATAGTTAAATTTTCAATAGGCCTAGATCAGGTTGCATCTGAATGTAATGTGTTTGTTTGTTTGTAGGGACTATACTCCAAGCTAACCCTTCGCAGTCCCCTTTACCTTGGCGGCCACAGTAACTACACAGCAATCAGCCAAACTAGCATCAGTACTGGCTTCTCAGGCTGCGTAGAGAGACTAGTCATCAACAATGTAGACAGTGACATGAGACTGGAGCCAAGAGGCTTTGCGGTGGGTGGTGTGGATGTGGGTAAGTCATTGGTCATAGCCAGCCCCGAATACACCCTAACAACATTCCCCCTCGCCCCCCCCCCCCCCCACTCACCAATTCAGTTTCTAATAGGCACTTCCAGTGACATTATTAAGCCATTTTACATTGTTATCAAACCAAAATATAACAGTTTTCACACTGGCTTCAAATTTATGATGTGATAAGGGTTACGTACGAACAGGGACAGACATTTTGTGACAAGTGTCCAGTCTGTTCGTACGTATAAATCCTGATTATAAAATATCAAATAATTCTTCACACTGACTCTGAGTATAAGCATTCCTCCAGGGTACATCTTCTTAAATAAGTCAACATTAGGGGATCATTAAACTTTATGCTTACTACTTTGTGACTTTATCTAAAATGTCTGTCCTTTGTTACGTACATAACACTTTTTAAAACAATATTCACTATATTTTCTAAAATACAAAACCAGTTGTATCATTTGCAGGTGAGGACATTTGTTCGAAGCTTGCAATGTTTACAGCAAAAATTGAGAGACCAAGATCGTAGTTTTATCATCAAAACTTAAAGGTCTTCTCAAATGTCACACTTTTGGGCCCATTAGTGTGGAATTGCCCACATGTAAATCAAATAGTTAGAGAGGCCTGATATATTTCGTCTTGAGCAAAGACTTCTTCAGAGGCAAATGACACATGGCAAGAAACAAACATGCTGGGGACATGCACACAGGCAGGGTTGGAAGGAGAAACACAAAGGAGGGATGGGGGGGGGAGGTGTGCAGTGGATGAAAGGAGATTAGGGAACAAAGGAGTGTGGTGGGAGTGGGCTCGGGGGGGGGGGAGGAAGGGAAAGGTATACATGTACTTAGCATCATTCATATTGTCTGAATTTTGGATTATTAATTTTCTGTTAAAATCTGATATTTCTGATAAGCACCAAAACTTCCTCTCCACTTTATTGGCAGGTGAGTTTACACTAGTCTGAACACAGACTCAAAGTGGTGGATTATTGTGGACAGGCATTTAAAGTCTGATACTGGCCAGCAGAATGAGTGCCGGATTGGCTCATGCTGTAGGGGTCAACGTAATTTGAATATTTATGCACGTACCAATAGGATGCTGCATTAAACATACTGTATGAGTGTGCAGGAGAAGTAGGCTAATCAAACTATAGGGGAGATGGTACAGCCAAGACGCATAGCAACCAATAAGGTATCAGAAGCACAAGGCCTGTCTTCATATAGACATGTGTGTTATGAAGTCAGGTGTACCAGTCTAAGGTTACACATGTCTACATACACATAACAACAATGATGCGTACACTCCATTCATGATGATATTGACATTTCAAATTTTTGAGGAGAATAATAAAGAATGTTACTACATGTACATGTTTGAACATGTATTCATGAGGTTTTTATTTTTTTTATAAGAAGTACATGGACCTTCTTACACAAAGAGGAAGGTACATTTAATCAAAATCAGTCAACTATGGCACCACTAAAAACGGGAACATGATTGAAGAAAAATGAAGTAGTCGCAAAGTTGCCATTTAAATATTGCCAGGAATTACATGTATCTGTGAAGGAGCTTGTAGAGTGAGGTCTATAGGATGACTTGCTCATTCAGTGGGTGCTGGCATCGTATCACTGCCTAGCCAGGTGAAGGTTTGTTACTGATGCTGCAACATGATCCCACTGCAATAAAAGTTGCACTAAACCTGACATTTATGAGGAAAATTGATAGGCTACAGAAACTGGCTGACTGTATCATTGCTACTCCCCGGCAATGAACACAATGCATTCCTGATTGAAATTAATGTGATTGAAGTTTTTTATCCATGCTTGAAAGGGCAAAGGCCATTAAATTAACCACAAATTGAAGAACGTTTCAAGTGAAGTCAGTTTTATAGCATAATACTTGTATTGTTAAGACACATACTGGTATATCGAAGAAATAATCAGCATCTAGAGACGGAAACTTTCAAAAGAAAGCAGGAACCATTTTTCTTCTTTTGTATTCACTGGAGTGTCTTTGGTATTGTGGGTAGAGTTCTATGGATTACAGAATAACCCTGAGCTTTTCTTGCAGTGGTACATTAAAGTTACAGTCCCCGTGCTACTTTCAACTTTCATTCCAAATAAATAGACTCTTTTTCTAAATTGGTATTTTTCTAGCAGTGCAAAAGTTATTCACTTTTGAATGAGACATCGACCAAAAAAAAATGGCCACTGTTTACATGTAGTTATTGAATTACTACTTAAGAATTTTGAATTATTATTATTAGCTTATTGAGGCAGTGCACGTACATCTTCCATTTCTCATTATTGCTTAAAAACTAGTGGAAAAACCCAGTGTACACCAATGCAGAAAAGAGCCCTGTATGTAATGTACGTAATTAGTGTTGTCACCCTCATACTTGTGGCCACTAATGAATAATATTTGATTGTCTGAAAGCAGTTGGACCTTGTAATAGGTGGCAAGTGCAATCATGTTTGATTAACAGAATTTAATCAAGGGAATATGGCTGCTCCATGACAGAGGCATGCCGCTGGGGGTGGGAATAGTGCAATCATGCCACCCTGCAGCAGATGTTTGCTCAACTTGGAAGGGGTCTGCGTAGATACCTGACAATTTTAATAAAGCCAAGTTGACACCCATGGTTATTGCAGTTGTGTCTAGAATTGACCAGTTTGATGAAAGGTGTCTCAGATGTGTACACTCTCACACTTTTGGGAAACAGTACAGGTAGAAGACAAAAATCAATTATCTGTGTGCATATAGTTATGGATTTCATTTAATGTAGTAACTGTAAGAGTGTGTGTCAAAATTGTGATGGCAAGAGTTTTTTTTATTAATATCTGAGCCACTTCAATTGAATTGTGTCCTTAGGTAAGAAATTGGGGTTACTTCTTTCAGTGTGTGTCTTTGTTCACATACAAATTCTGGTTTTACTAGACTACCGAGGATCAGTACTTTCCCTTTGGTCAGTTCTACATAGAAGTGGACATGGGGGAAAAGCGGAAATTTGTAAAAACTCTTTAGAACTACAAGCATCACAGCCTCAAACATGGTACAGGTATCAAAGTATAGGGGCCAACAAGACCTTTCATTTGAGTGGTGTCCCAGTGAGTTGGAATGAAGTTGAAGGGAATGTACATCATTGGCTTTTGTTGTAATTTTCAGAAATGAACTTATTTGAGGGGTTAGTATAATAGATCAAATATTGTTTAACTGACATGATTGAAGTTTTGTGTTGGAAAATGCTTGAAAAACCAAGAACAACTAAAATGTTTAAGTAGTCTGGTTCCCTGACTCCACTAAAGATAAAATGGATCAATTTAGATGTCGGAAAAATTGAAGGTAAGGGAACCAGTCTAGCTGGCCTGCACCAATTCATGAACATGTAACCAATAGCAAACAAAATTTGGACTGAAAAAAATTGTAAATTTGGAGCAGTAGTTGAAAAATAGTTAGGTTTTTCCAACGGTGGTCGGCCGACCACCGTTGGAAATATATACAAAAATACCATTTTCTTAAAAAATGACTTGACACCAGGTGCCATAATTTTACAGGATGCTTTAGGCTGTCATTTACCAACATCCTAGTAAGGTATTTCATAAAAACTTGGTAGTTTTATTCTTCGATGTTTGCAAATGTTGTATATTCCCTTTAAGTGTGTTTTTTGTTTAAAAAAAACAAAAACCCTGATTTTTGGCTAAAACTATACATTTTCAGCAGTCATTTTGGCACCTTGTTTTAACATGCAAAAAACAAGTGTTATTTTTAAGTTTTTGTTTTTAAGGCAGAGATAAAGGTTCATGTTTTATGCCACAAAAATGTTTTGTTTGATTATTAGTTTCTGATATGTTTTTAACTTGTACCAAATATGGGCAGACAAACTGTAACTAAATGTAACGTACCCGGTAATTAACCAAGATGTTATGGCAGTGCTTTAGACTGATGAGAGAAATTGAGAAATGTTGTATGTCAAAACATTTGTCAGTAAGTAAGCAATTACAGAAATACTATGATTTGTTTCACTGTATCCCATTTAAGGAAACGTTTTGTGTAAAGACATGCATTTTTTTATCCATGTCCTTTTTGTAACATAACTAACCAAGATTACATGTACATGTTCCCATCAACTCAGAAAACAAGTCTAACTGATATAGCTTAGGCCTATGGCTGTGTTGTAAATCCTGGTAAGATGTATTGATGGTACCATAATGGAGAATTGATAGCCACACATGTTGATGTTGGAGCCCAAACAGTGGTGCTACATTGCTTAAAATGTAACAAAACTAACCATGGAATTGCCCCTTTTATGTTCGTACTGTTTGGTGTTTATCTTTTCCTTGACATGTCCCATAAGGTTTGTACACATGAATTACTGAGGACGTAGTCATTGTTATCTCAGGTAACCCTTTGTACCACTTACTCAGTCATAAGGGATAACCTGTACGATTCATGATTGTGCTTAACATCAGATTCATACTTAAAAGAAAACACCTAAAGTGTAAAAACCACGGATGCCTGTGGAAAAGTTGACTTTGTTGTTATTTTCATTTGTATCTGTGTATAGGTGAATGTAGCAGTGGACTATGTGATGAAGGCATGTGTAGCAATGGTGGTTCCTGTGTGGCCCAGTCAGCTAGTCGCTACCTGTGCCTTTGCCCATTAGGCACGGCTGGACCTACTTGTGAAAAGGGTAAATAATCCAATCACAACCAGGGCCTGCTGCAGCTGATGTGGTTAGGCCATTGATCAATTTATCCACATTCAAATTGAATTTGGAGCCATAATCTGTTGACTCATGCAGACTAACATGCATTAAGAGTGCATTACACTTAGCATGGGTAGCAGTGTCATTAGGGCAGAGCAGTTGCATGTATTCTGAGAATGAAAACCTTTCTTTTAATTTGTTATTTTTGTTTAGAAAAAGTCTCCATAGCATGAATATATTCCTTATTTATATTCTTAAATACTCTATTCTTATAACATTTGATCGAAAAGTTTTCCCCCTCCCCCATACCCAAAAGCAAAAGAGTAAAACATTAATTGTAGTGCCTTCTACATTTTGATTCACTTTGGTGGTTTGATAGATAATGAAACAAAGTAACATATCAACTTTTATAGCGTGTGACTGTAACTTGAAAAGAAAATGTATGCACAAATTCTCCTTTATACCCCAAATAGTAAAAATGCCAGATCCAGCAATGGTTAAAATTCAAGCCCCGATAAAATAAAGTGAAGAAATCCTACTATTTAAAGAATATTGCAAACATAAAGAAAGAAGTTAAATCTTCATGGTTATGAATGACATAGAAATTTAGTCAGATATACAGAAGAATGGCTTACTTGAACAATTGTGACTTGTCCAAAATACTTGTGGTAGATTTGATTTATTGAACCAATATTCTGTCGCCAGCAGCCACACCAAACCAGTTTGATTTTCTGCCAAGAGCCAAAGCCTGGTCAAGTTTCTCTGTTGTTGATCCCAATTCTTGTCTTTTTTTATCCACATACGTATTTTTTGTCCATCTACTTATCAACTCTCTCTCTCTCTCTTGCTTTGTATTGTTGCCCCCTAGATGTCCTTCTCCATATCCCATCCTTCAATGGCTCTTCCCATCTAGTCCATCAGAGTCTGGGCAAGAACCACCTATCCTTCCTTGAGATCGAAGTGATCTTCCGGCCCCATCAACCCACAGGAATGCTCCTTTACAGCGGCCAAAAGTTTGAAAGAGCAGGAGATTTTGTCTCACTGGGCATGTCTGAAGGACACGTTGAGTTCCGATTTGATTGTGGTTCAGGACCCGCTGTGTTAAGGTTTGTTGAAATATGTACATCTCAATTACAGTTTCCAAATGACAATGAAATCATATCTAAGCTGTCTTGGTTCTGATAGAGGCAAACCAATACAGACAGGCAGAATAAGTCTGAGTCATTAGTGCTAGTACTGTCCATTTTTATTGCTAATTTCTTTATAGTCAACACAATAAAGATGTTGTGTTTTGTAGAAGTCAGACTCGCAGACTGTATCCTGTAAGATGTATTTTTTTGTCGGGAGATGAAAATATAATTTGTAGGTTTTGCCCTTCACCAACATAATTTTTATAAACACTTTATACTTGATGCTGTCTGAGAGCTTGTGAGAATAAAGTCACAAACATGGTCAAATGGGACTGAACTCACATCCCCTGGCTGACCAGCTCAGATATCTGAACCACTCAGTCACAAACATGGTCAAATGGGACTGAAACCCACATCCCCTGGCTGACCAGCTCAGACATCTGAACCACTCGGTCACAAACATGGTCAAATGGGACTGAAACCCACATCCCCTGGCTGACCAGCTCAGATATCTGAACCACTCAGTCACCAAACATGGTCAAATGGGACTGAAACCCACATCCCCTGGCTGACCAGCTTAGATATCTGAACCACTCAGTCACAAACATGGTCAAATGGGACTGAAACCCACATCCCCTGGCTGACCAGCTCAGATATCTGAACCACTCAGTCACCAAACATGATGGGGTTGGCTTCTTATATGTAATAGGGGTTATCACATTCAATGGCCAAAAAATCCAATATCTACATTAACATTTCCCGTTGCTAATTTCCATCATATAAAATATTGATTACGTAGAAAGTCTTTGGAATTCAAAAACTGATTTGACAATATTTTATTGAAAAACTGAATGATTCCTGTCGTTTGGTCCAGTCACATAAAGAGGATTCCCTGGGCTTGCATAACTAGAAATATAATAGGAAATGCATTGAATACATCTTCCAATACAGAACAACAGAGCCAGTGTCCCTAAATGAGTGGCACATTGCCATTGCATCACGCACTGCCCGCGATGGTACTCTGCAAGTGGACAAACGACGTGTCCTGAGTGGAATGGCAGAGGGCGCTTTTACCCAATTGACCTTTGCTGGTGACCTATACATTGGTGGTGTGGATGATGCCTCACATGTATCCAAAAAGGCGGAAATGTCAACCTCATTTGTTGGCGATATTCAAAAGGTTTGTACCTATGTCCGGTGATTAGGTTTTTTACAATCTGTTTGGCTGATAGGTTAGAGGCATTTCTGTTTTGTCCACTTTGGTTGTAGATTTTAATGAACTTGGGCCAGTATGTTTCAAAAAGATTCGAGTACAAAATGTTTCAGCGGCAGAGGTCACAGAATTATGCCTTGCCACAGTGGTAAGTGGGCTTTCATATGTGTGTGCTGCAGAAGTCATAATGCCAACTTTGTGAACGTAAACATTTGTCACATGAACATAGTTGCAAAATGATCCAATATCTGTTAGGCCAAAAAAAAAAAGTCTCCGGTTTCTGGTATGCGCGCGCGTCACCGTAGCCATGCGCGTCGGCAAAATGCAAAAGTTTTTTTTTTCAATGAAAGATGATGTCTCAAAACCGCCAAACTCACTGGTTTGACTGGAATCCTGCTGCTGCACAATTTTAACGTGTTTTTAGATTGGGTTATGGTCCAGAATAAGCTTTATGTGGCCTCTCTGGACTCCCATATATATTTGCACTAAGTTTAGTCGGGCACCATTCATGCCATTTGCAGTCATCAGCCGACATTTGAAGCAAAAAAATCAGGTAAAAAAAAAAAAAATGCCGCGTCGCCGCACCACTTTTTGGGCAAGCTCCATACCAGAAACCGGACACTCTTTTTTTTTGGCCTTATCTTCCTTTGAAATCTTTATTTCTGTAAGTTAATTAACAAAACTTGATCTTCTTTTCCTGTGTGTGTAGAGTTTGCTTTCATACATTTCTTTCATGGATTTGATGCTCGTATAAGTAGTGATATAGTATTAGCAGCGATATAGTGCAATAGGATTTTATGAAGGGCCGCTTCTGGGGGGGGGGGGTCATGAATGCAGTGGCTGGTCCACAGTGCTCATCAATACTCACTCATACCTGCAGCATGATTTATTATCTCACTACAGATGACAAGAAGTTAAAAAGAAACCAGCCCTATAGAAACCAGTGCAGGTTACCTCTGTGCTGGCCCGTCCTTCATGAAATACATTTGTTTCTAGTTTGAATGCTGTACATTTTCAGAGAATCTTGTCATTTGGGCATATTCAAAACCCCTTTCTCGTGTTGAATGAACACGAGAACAGGGTTTCAAATGACAAGAAACAAAACGCGAACAGTGTTCACGAACAGGATTTTCACTCCTTACTTACTGGGGAGTAGACAAAGAACCTCAAGAACAATGCTGACAGACTTACTGCAACGTGTTGATTTTTTGTTCATAACATTGAAACCACTATTTAAATGCAGAAGCAGTGATAATATAAACTAAACTTGTACGTGAGCATAGATGATGCTTATTGTTGCCTTGTTATTACATACATGTAAGACGCACCATGTGTGGGTGACACGGTGGGCAGGCCGTCAACGCATTATGGGAACATTTTTTTATTGTTAGGCAAATTAGGACCGAGTTATGGGGACTTTCTGCTGTCCCCACAGCATCTTCGGTTCCCATAGTACCATGGGACAACTCATGTGTAGTCCCCACAACTACGGAACAAGTATACATGGGTGTACATGTACGTGTACAGTGCATGCATGACCAGATTTCTTCTTAATGTGTACAATGAGAGTGGCCGTATGGCAGCAATGGCATTCAAGTGTCCATCATCTTCCTCTCTCCCTTACACCATTGAAGGGGTGCATGTGTATGGAGTCCATAGTGTCCTCGACTGTGATTCCTGTGACAGCCAACTTCCTGCCTAAACACATAACATACCATGTATGTCCTATGACAACAGATTCAAGTGGACAGGATTTCCTGTCTAGCAACCTCAAGTTAGAGAGAATGACACTTAAAGTTTCTTTAGTGAAAGGGACTATCAACCTATGACTCTGAAATGCACGTTCAGTCATTCTTTCTTGTAATGTTCTTGTAATATAGGTATATTAGGCTAAGATCATTTACATGTCTAAGATGGTTTATGAGAATTGAAGCCCACACCATAGATGTTGATGTCTGTAGTATAGGCTGATTGCATAGCTGCAGAAGTGAAATGAAATAGAGGAAATCCAATCTATCAACATTGTGCGGCCTGTGCATGGTCTGGTACTACACTCTCCTCAAGACGTTTCTTCTTCTTTTTTTTACTCCAGGTGTATATTCTACATTCTGTATTTTCCTCCTCAAGAAAAACTCAATAATGTCTGTTGGTATCTGTGTGTTGATAATTCACATAGTGTCAGATACTGAAGAGCTGAAACAAGTAGTAATGTTGAAGATTTCTTTGCACCTTCAGGTAATCATTAATGATAAACCACTAGACCTGATTGATGATGCTATCCGTGGAGCTAATGTCATGAACGCAGACCATCCATGTGTAGATCAACCTTGTCAAAACAGGGGAGAGTGTGCCGCTCAACATGCCACGTATTCCTGCCAGTGTCCGCTCTGGTATCAGGGCATCAATTGTGAAGAGGGTAAATATACATTGTAACATAGTTGTATTTGGAATGTTTTGGACTCAGATGTGATGGACATGACAATAACACTGCTATGAAAGCATATAGATTAGGATAGCCTTGTGCATCAGTGCAGACATGCATACTGTGTGCTTACTTGCACAGAGATCATTTTATTACACCTGCTTTAACCAGTGACATGATATGTGGTGATTAACGTTAGCACAATTATCTGCACAAGTTTTATGCTTACTGTTGAAATTGGCCCCAGGTGTATAATACAACTAACAATACAACTTAGGCTAATTTTTGTTCAAACGTATTGATTGTTGTCTCCCTTTTATGATGTTGCAGACATAGAGGGAATTGTGGAAGTGCCTTCATTCCAAGGAAGTAGCTACCTCAGATTCACCAGTGACTGGGTCTTAAAAAGGTGGGTCTATTCCCCTCCACTTGGTTCGTAGTCATTGTCTTGAATGTCATGGAGCAAGTTGTGCATTGATAAGATTTTAACATTATCAGCAATGAAAGGTTTCCGATTTTCATCAGAAATCCAACTTTTTCAAATTTGTTTCCCAAATTCCGCTTTTTCTAACGATCTTTCCCCTGCAAAATCTGATTTTTTAAATAAAATTTAAAGAGAAATTGATGAAAACGGCACCGTGTTATCGATAATGCGAGCGCAATTTTAATCTGTTCTACCAGTTGTCAGTGCACAGATTGTACGGTAGAAGCACACACGTAAGGCTGGATTGGAGTAGTTTACTGCTGGAATATGTTTAAGCATAAGCCTACCGTATCATACGATTGAAACTAGGCACAGAGCTTAGAGGCTGCTGCACGTGCACCATGATTGACAGTCTGACAGTAAAATACACATGTTGCGCAATGTTGTTGTACAAAATGCAATGCTTTAAAAATCATGATGATCATCGTCAGGATTGCGAAGGGGGCATAAAAGTGAAGTGAAAAGTGGATTCCCCTGTATTTTTTACCGAACAGTTGTCATCATGTTTTGTATTCTCTTTTTGTACAGAGTTGGGGGACAGGATGATAATATTCAACTGGAGTTCCGGACATGGAGCTCAGACGGTCTGATATTGTGGATGGGACGTGACGTCATGAAGTCTACTAGTGATTTCATGGCGTTGGGACTGGATAATGGAATGTTGAAGTGGAGGTTGGTATAGATTGTTGATGCATGACAACTCTACTGTCTTCTGTTGTGTTAGATTGAGGTTGTTGTATGCATGCATTACAGTGACTATGAACTGATAGTCAGTAATGAGGGATAGATTCGGCATTCCCAGCATTGTATTCAACCACATCAATGACAATTTTCTCAAACTCTGGGTGAGATTGAATGTGCAAAATATGATATGTAACAATGCTGCATGCATTGTTTATTATTTGTTGTCACAAGCCATCTATCCCAATGGGAAGCTAAAACTCAATAAAAAATGCCCAAGTAATTTGACAGCCTTGGTTAACCTCACCATTTCACACAGGTGGTAACTTGCATGTTTTGCCTATGTTGTCTACTTTTTTGTTTTCTAACCCACAGCTATAACTTGGGTGGGGGTCCTGTATCCACCCTTACAAATCAGACATTTAATGATGGTGAGTGGCACACAGTATCCATGCAACGTCAAGGTGCATCAGGAACATTGATGATTGACCAACGAGAGGGGCTAATGGCCACAGCGCCTGGACCAATGAAAAGTCTGGATATCAATAATGGACTCTATCTGGGTAAGGAACACTTATCAGACTGTCAGTACACTTAACAATTCGGAAAATTACATGTTGTAATTTTTGTAAGCCAATTTAGGAACGTGAACATTATTTATTTTTATAGAAAATATATTTGCAAATTGAGAACTTTGAATTGAAGTGGTTCTGTCTAAATGCTCTGTTTATCGGTGTGGCTCTGGTGTGTGCTAAGACTTATCACAACTTACAATTTCCAAAATGGATTGTCAACACTCATGGTAAATTTTTACAAAAGAAAATCTAATATGAACCTGTTTTAACAAGTTTAGCAAGGTTTATATAGCAGGATCCAAGTAACAATAGCAGTCCTTCATTTTTAAGGAGCGCGATCGCGCAGGCGCTCCTACTGCGCTCCTCGACTGTCTCGAAGGAGCGCTAAAAATAGCGCTCCTCAGAAATCCAAAAGAGGGCTCGTCAAACACGGGAAGTTTAAAAATAAGAAGTGATAAAAACGCAAAGGATTTTAAGTCTTAAGCTACACATATTTTTCGTTGGTATAATGCCCAAACTCACGTTAATATGCCGCTGGACATCGCTAAAAATGAACGAACACCGAGCTCGTACATACTGTATAAGATCGTGTGAGTACAGCGGTTGTATACTGTGCGTGCACAATCTGCATATCGCGTAGAGCTGCATGAAAACACGTGGGCCCGTACGTGCAAGTGCAGCAATGACTGGTTCCCGCTGCGCCGCGCACTAAGTCCCAATGAAGGCATGATGAAAATGCGGTAACTGCAAGTGCAGCAATGACTGGTTCCCGCTGCGCCGCGCACTAAGTCCCAATGAAGGCATGATGAAAATGCGGTAACCAGTCAATGTAATAGTCCTGCGCGGTGCAATGCACTGCCTGCCGTACAGTGTTTTGCGTGCAGGCTGGACGGAAAAGACGTCGTAAAAATGCCAAGAAAACAACGATTGAGAAGGACGATCTTTGCAAGCTTATTCACAAAACTTGATCTCTCTTGTCTGTGTATGTATTTCCCGTGTTCATGAATTTATTTTGAGGAAGTTTTACTGGTATGTGAAGTGAAACGATGCAGCGTGTTTCATTGACTATCCTAAATACCGTGAAACGAGTCTCATTGCCGGCCCACCACACACAGTGCATCACAAACGCTCGTACTAGTGCGAAGTTCAGATGTTGTTAGCCAGTTTCTCGTCGTGACTAGCATTGTGTATATGGCATACTTGACCTGCATTTTCCGTTATTTTTAAGATTATCGACGGCAGATATTTTCGATAAAACTTAAGGCAAGTTTGTGTCATTTTGAGGCCCTTTTTGTGAAGCTTTCGTAGAGCAATTGAAATAGTTCAGGCTGAAAATTTCATATAATTTTAACGAATCTGAAAGCAATTTTTCAGTTGCTTTATGTGCCGTTTATTAACTCTCCATTTTCCAAGTATAATCAAGTGATGAACCAACTGACACCTGTATTAAAAAATGAAAGCCTGAGCAGTAGTCAAACCTTTTATTAATCTCCATTTAGTTAGTTTTTTAAATAAATGTTACCTTGTCTTACAGTTACAAAAACGAAAAAAGTAACGCAACTTGAGCATATGTTATTATGCAAAAACGAATAATAATGCAGCCCCTTGAATAAATCCTTATATTCAAAATAAAACAAAAACAATGGTAACCCGTCGTTTTACCGCTGTTTATCCGTAGATTTTAAGGAGAGCGATTTATAGCTCTCCTGGATTTTCTTTAAATGAAGGACTGCAATAGCAAGGCTGCGTTGACTGGACACCTTCAATGAGCAAGAAAGGGAGTCTAGACACACAGTCTGATACAGATATATTGCCAAGAAAATACTTGGTGGTACAAATACTTGTGTGCCTGCCCATAACCAAAAGCCCAAAGTGTACTTCATTCACATGGTATAGATATGAAGGCTTGGTCATTAAGACTTTGCACACATTGTCAGACTCAGAAGAAAAGACCTCCCCCAGTTATATGGAATTGGTCTGGTGTTCATTGCCATTTGTTGAATTCTTATACCCTGACCTACTGTGTCTTGTTGCAGGTGGCATGAAGGATGTCGCTGAGCTTTCTTTCAAGCGTTACACCATTGGCTTTCTTGGATGCATACGCAATGTAATGCTAGAGGGTGACAAACTAGACCTATATCAAGATCCATCAGAAGGTAGAAATGTCAATCATTGTGCTTAGATGGGAAAGCCCTTCAGGCTCTGCTCTTCAAGTTTGTCCTCGTTGATGCTTTTTTGGGGGGGGGCTGTCTTGTCTTGTTTTTAAATTTTTACATTTTTTATGTGTGTTAACTTTTTGATGTCATTGCAACAAACTAAGGCACATTTTAAGAATTATTGCCTCTAAAAATAATATAGTGGTGCAAATGTTATTCAAATCTGATCAAGGATTGTATGTAATTATATGAACATTGTACGTGCAAGTAAGTAGTCAACAATACCAGCTTTGCTGTACTGTATCACATAGCTTTTCCCCTTTTTACCCATAGATATTGTAATCATGTAGGCATTTTTCTGCTAGCCTGTTATACACTATGCATCATTGTGTGCACAAAAAATAGTTTTCCCTCTTTTTGTGTACTGTAAAAAAAAAAGTGGCTAGTACTATTTTTATACATAGAGTAAATCTTAAGTTTGCAGTTTTTATGTGAACTCCCTTTCACTTTTTTGTACATTACTGTAGTTTCTAAGTGTTTGGTTCATGAACTCTAAGTTTCTAAAGATAAATTTAAAGTTTGACATTTTTGGTTGTAGGGGATCTAACAACATAACATGTCATTAATTATCATAGTTTAATCTCAACAATGACGTACCAATTGATGAAGATGATTCTGCATCAAAATCAAAAATCAGAAATAAGTCAAGAAATCACTTTCAATTGGTATACATGTATTTGACTGGAAGGAATGTGAACATAATATATTGGCTGTTTGAAATGATCAGGTCATTTGATTACAATTATGTTGAGATTTGAACAGAATGATGTTTCACTGAATTCTCAGAACTTGGTTCAGAAGTTAATGGGCAGTCTTAATAATGTAAGTAAAAAGTGTCTTCACTAAAGTGAAATATGCCAAGGATGATGACTGCGAAAAAGGTGCATGGATGACATTGCAGTTGGTGATGGTCATAGATTGAGTTGAGGGGGGGGGGGCGAAGTCAAGGCTTGAATAGGCTGGTCAGTGGGCGATGGGGGGATTAAGTGATTAATTAGTAATATGACACTTATAGAGAATGCCTTGAATAGCAATATACAGTCATCAAGTGTGTATAGTCTAAGAAGCTTTTTTTTTTCAGACCAACTTAAATATACTCTTAGTTTTCCATGCATTTATTTTGGATAAGAGACATTATAGACTGTGCCTGATTAACTCTTTGTTTCCTTACCCATGTTTTGTATGTTGAATGATGCATATGTGTATTTTTTAATTTACTGCAGGAGTGATTATTGTTTTGTGTTTAATTTTTGGCATTTTTATTAAGGTAAAAGGAGTCCTATCCAAGCTTTATTTGCCCAACGATTTGAGCATAATTGTGTGTGAAGGCAGAAACTACCCACCGTTCCTTCACATAGTTGAAATGAGTTCTTTCTCGTAGTTTAGATTACTCTGTCTTGATTTTGGCATTTCTGTTCTAAAAAAGAATTTAAAAAAGATTTTCAAAGACATACAGGAGCTATGAAGTCTTTTTTAGGAATGTCTTTCTCTTTTTGAATCTAACATACATGTATTCTGACAATTTTGAAGTTTGTTTTCCTTTCTTGTTTTCTTGTTTTTTTAAGTTTTTTAATGATTTTTTTTGGATATCTTAGTGCATGTGTATTTTGTTATAAATGTAATCTTTTCCTAACAGGGTTAACAGAGATAACTAAAGTTATAATGCAACTCCAAAATGTCCAACAAGCAACCTTATTCCTCAGCAGGATTGATGTAAACTTTCAGGTCATCTAACATAGTAGTACAAATCCTGACACTGGTCAACCTGCAGTTGGATCAATGTCAGCTGGTCCTGACGTGGGTACTTCTTGATCATGTAAAGCCAGTTGTTGAATAGTCTTCTGTATCATCACCAGCAATTTTGAATATTTTGTAACAATAGCAAGAGCATTCTCAGCTCTTCACTTTAACATGATTTTGTTGGACATGCATTTTGGTTAGCATTTAGGTGACTGTACTGGCACTTCTATTGTTATCAATTGTACAAGATTTGTTCCAGAGATGTAACTCCCGAGTAGATCAGGCAGCCCTCCATTCATTAGCCTTTTTGAGATATGGTGGACACAAGAGGAGGGCACTACTTGCAGTAGGTAAAATGTTGCTAATTGGAAAAGACTTGACCTAACCCGAATGCCGCCCTTTCTGATATCTCAAACAAAGCGAATACCTCAAAGCCATATCTCAAATAAAGCTAATTATGTTGGGTTTCGGCACTTTTTTTCCTTTCTACTATGGCAGTACTTCCAATAGGGTTAAAAGTGGACATTTAACCAGGATAATTTATCAAAGTGTTCATAATACTAAGGTCATTAAGGCCACACAAACTAGTTGTCATTTAGACGCAACTTAATTCCACCCCCGAAGCTATCTCTGGAGCTAGCCAGGCCAATTCTAGCCCCGAAAATTGTGGGGCTAGCTCCACTTTCAGCAGGGCTTCTTTTTACAACCTAGCTCCACGGTTATTTGTCGTTTGGACGCACTGACCTAGCTCCAACGTGACTCATTGAGTCATTGTTAAGTTGGTCTAATTCACCATGCCACCCATGAACATATATTACGTGACCTATTTGGTGACCTTTTGACTCCACTGTAACGCCAGCTCCGGAGTTTAGCCATCATTGTATGAACATGAGCACATTTATGATTTTATCACTAGCTCCATAGAACCCTCATTCGTTGAGTTCATTAATTGGAAAAGAGCTAGCTCAAAAGCTGCCCTCCATCCGAACATACCCCAAAATATCAATGTATTCAGAATGTTAGACATTAACATTCCCAAATCTTGGATTTGTAGACAACATGGAGGACTTGATGATGAAAAATGACAGAATAATCTCATATACCCGCTCACAATAGGCAGAGTTTAAGTACTAAAGTAATACCATTTTTTTAACATAATTTGAAATGTTAAACTTCATGTACTCTTATTTCTCAAAAGTAAAGAATTGTCTCCTCTAACTCTTCAGTCTACAGTTGACATCCACTTATTATTGTTCATTCAGAATTCTGATATTAGCCCGGTTTTGTACTTAACCTATTCAAAAGAAAATCAAGTACTTAAATGAAATTGTAACACCTCACCCACAGATTCTGTATCTGTATCTTGATTGGCCGAGAGCGAGTCACCTGGCAAAAGTACTATACCCGTAGCAGCCAAAGAACTATACCTGTAGCAACCAAAGTACTATGCATACTGGTGTGCACGTTAAAAGCTGTGTTCAAACATTTCGTTCTGAAAAGTGCAAATAATTTTTCAACTAATTTCGTATTCAAATAGAAGTACATATTGTAATTAGATTACATTACAATTGTAATTAGATTACATTAATCAGTTATTGCTTAAAATCAAGCAGAATCTTTGGGAGAGGTGTTATAAAACAAATATTAACTGCTTTTTCTTGTGGTGTAGTATAACTAGCCTCCCTCGGTGATCCATGGAGCATTCTATTTTCCCTCGGCTTCGCCTCGAAACAAAAAGAATACTTCATGGATCACCTTGGTTGGCTAGTTTTATTATACCACAAGTTAAAGCAGTTAATATTGGTATACTATAAGCTTTCCAGAATTGTACAATTTTGTAGCTTTAAAATATGCTGTTTTTGATACTGCAAACTGTTTTTTACCATAAAGTTATATTATGAACAACTAAACTAAAACACGTATTAACTGCAGATACAGAATATTGTGGGAAAATGGTCTATCATAACAATGATGTTGAAAACTTTTGTAGATGTATCACATTCATTCAGTCAAGTTGTTGAACTAATTATGCAGCTTGCTTAATTTGTAAGTAGAATAGTGGTTGTCACTCATTAGCATGACTGAAAATGAACAAACCAACCACCATATCCTTATAGGGGACAGTCTTTTACACTTCAGTACTTTATAGAATTCATCAAATGCTTTGCTTGCCAAAGATTGTTTTTTCCAAACCGCATGTACATTATTGCTACTTAGGCAGAATGCAGGAGGCCTCTTAGTACTACTAGAAACTGAGCTGCTGGTTGGGCTCCGACTCAACAGATTTTCGGTGGATTTCTAAAAGAAGTTGGGTTGTACATGGATTTTATTTTCTTATTTAACTCGGTGTTAATATAAAGCTGCCTTAAAATAATGCTGAGGAATGTCCCACACTTCACATAATGCCAGCGCAATTCTACATATCCTGTATGCATTTAAAAGATACAATATACAAGAAGTATACTCAATTTCATGAGGTTGAACAGAAATGGTTACAATTCAGGTAAATCTCATTTCTAATAATAATAATAATTTGGGTGGGTAATCATCCTTACTCGCAGCTGAAAAGCTGAATTACGAATGGCGCGGCTACAACGTGATCGGGCCGCTGGCACGTAAAGGCGCCTATGGCTGCCGGCCACATCGACCCATATATGACCACGGAGCACAGCCTGAGATCAAAAGTGTTTGATATCTCCCATTAGTTGCATGTTAAATTGTACATAAGAATAATGGCCAAAACTTCCTCTGTTATCTAAAAATGAAAGAGTGGGACATTTCTCTGCCAAACAATTCTCTTCCAAGAACAGTTTGTTGTGTAGGATCTTATATGGTTGAATTCTGTTTAGGGATTAGCCATTCTAAAATGACTTCCTACAAAATGTAGTTATGGTTGATGTAAGTCGTTGAAATACTGAAGACTATTTTCTTGATGCCTAAATTGAATTAATCATGCCCCTTTTTGGCAACTGCAGATGACGTGTTTATTATTTGTTTTTCTTCTTCTTCAAGTTTTTAAATACTTAACACAAGAAGCCTGCATTTGTATATTACAAGAATAAAAGAAGCCATAATCCATTTGGGATGTTTGTAGAGTTATGTTTTTATGTGTCTATTGTCATCACAAGTATCACTCACAAATATACAAATAGAATTTATTGAAACATCTGAACTTTCCCTCTGTACTTGTCATCAGTGACCTTGTCAGGCTTTCAAAGCAAAAAGTGCTGTGGCATTAAGACTTGATCAATTGCTTTATCCGTTTGATTTGAAATAAATAATAATAATTATATTCTAAAATAAATTGCTTCCAAAGATGGACAAAGCATACTTTTTGTAATGGTTTCTACTGTCCAAGCAATGTTATCACAATGAAGGATATTTTTTTTTCAATTTAATTTATTTAATGTATTTTCAATTAATTTATTTATTTTTGTCTGGCAATGTTCAAAGCAAACGATTTTGAGCAGTAAAAGGATAAGTAAAACTAGCATCCCTCAACGATCCATGAAGTGTGCTGTTTTCCCCCAGCTTTAGCCCAGCACGCACATCTTTCCCATTTTACCGGATTATCGGTGTTTTTTTTTTCACAATTGTAGTTGGACCACAACGTTACCCGCACACATGCCTGATTCTGTCCTTTAATCGGTCACGATATGATGACCAGTCACATGATGACAATCATGTGACTTCCTCTGTTAATCTGATTGGTTAAAATAAGTCCAGTGAAATCGGATCCGGTGAAATCAGACGTGAAAAAATCAAACATGTTTGATTCATCCAGTCACCCGGCATACGGTCAGCGCACACCTCTGGACGATGACCCGATGATCGGGTGAACAGGTCAAATCAGAAGGTGTGCGCCAGTTTTACCTGCAGTCAATATTTGTGTAATCACATGGTGTTATCTGCATCAAGCTTGTAGCCAGTGTACCATGCTACAAGTCATTTTACCTAAAATGAATTTCTTCAATACTGTTTATGTTTTGTCGGGTAATCGTCTGAAAACAGGCCAACCAAATTATTCAGAAGACCTTAGACTGGAGAGAATTGGCACAATTCCCTGTGACATGTCAACAGATCACATAGCATGACTAGTAATAGTGATACTCCTTTAAATGTTGGTTATTATCACCAATAATTATCAATAAATCTTATTAACATATTCTCAATAATTGTGCATTGATTTCTACTAATTTGCAGTTTCATTCTGCAATATACATGATGAGTGAAATGCTCATAAAATGGGTGAATACCTCAAGATAATTAAAGGTAAAACCTACCAGGAGAATATCAGTACAAAACTATGACTCAGCATAAGGAGTGTTAGTAAAAAGATGTTTTATTTCTCAAATATAATGGCAGGCATAAGCAAAAAAAAAGTGAAGACAAACTGATTTGCACCAAAAATGTAGCACTTCAATAAACAAATAAGATAATGACGGTTCTAGACTTTTACAGGGCACAATATACTTTCATATTGTAATTGAAACAGCTCAGAAATTATAAGTATTCTAGACATGAAAGCAAGAGATAAAGTTGAATTTTAAACATTTCAACAAGTACCTTAAAGAAGTAATGTCCATTTTCATCAACAAATTCACCTTTTTTTCCAAACAAATTTTGACCTTTGAGTGTTAAATTTTAATGAAAGTAATTGCTTTTATTTATTTTGGGTATCGGCAACCGTTTGAAAAAAGCTTTTCCTTTGGGTAACTTATGTGCACATACAAAGTTTCTAAAGTGGAGGCCTCAGTTTCTAAAATAGGGGCCTTGCAATAACTAGATTACTGTCGGGCTGTAAGTTCAAATTTGTAAAAGTAATTTTTTCCAGATGTGAATGTGGGGCAACATTTTTTTGTCAATGTCTCATTCAATAATTTCTTTATTGCTAGAAAAAAAAGCAGTTTTAAAACTAAAAGATTTTTCAGGGTGAAACCTGAAAACACGTTCAGTACCCCTTTAAAAAGTGACACAGAACAAGTGAGTTCTTGTTTACATAAAAGTCCTTACTGAATAGCAAAAACAATGACATATCATGGATGTATATTGACCAAGCAGCCACTTTGGTCCTTGTTTTCTTAAGCTGACAATAGTGCCTTTTTTGCACCAGACAAAAAGTAGGTATCCCTGTAAAAGTTGTAAGTTGTAAGAACTGCTTGCTGCAAGCATGTTGCATTTGGGCAACCATTTTGGTCAAAGTATGAAGTACACATATGACCTGAAATAATAGCTTAGATTCTTGAGTTTCCAGACTAGTCTTTAAGGACTGCAGTAGAGATGATAGGATACTCTCAACATTTTCACAGCAATTAACCACAATTTCTTACATGTACCTTTTTGTTTTGTATTGAATACTGCCCTTTCTGTCATGAAATAGCTTATAAGAATGACACTTTTGTTTTACAAACACACCTCCTATTCCTATAATTTTTTTTAATTAACTATCCGACAATATACAAAAGTACTACGGAATGCTGATTGAAACCATAAATACATTTTTTTGGACTGTAACATTCAGAAAGTAAGAGCTGCAGTTTAGGACTTTCATGAAAGCTTAGCCAGTGTGGGAGTGCATAGATGGTTCAGGTATTAAATACACAAATATAAGGTGGGAATACAGGGTGTATAGAAAATGGTTAATCCAAAAATAGTGTGTTGGATCTTTAAGTGTGGTTCATCAGCTTTCCATTAATATCTTACTAG